TTGTTGGTTTTATTAATCAGAAAGCAGGGATGTCGGAATTTGAATGAGCACAAATACCTATTTTTTCTTCTTCTTAAGACTGATTAAAATCCCTAATTGGTGACAGACACTAACATGGGTCAAGTTTTATGTACATTTTTAAGAGAAATATCACAGAACGTATCTACTAGTGACCAATGTTAAATGATCATGCACATAAATGCATTGTAGTTTGGACTTATGGCATAAAACTGCTATGAGAGGCTTTTGTTGGTTTTATTAATCAGAAAGCAGAGAAGTCAGAATTTGAATGAGCACAAATACCTCTTTTTTCTTCTTCTTAAGGCTGATTAAAATCCCTAATTGGTGACAGACACTAACATGGGTGAGGTTTTATGTACATTTGTAAGACAAATATCACAAAATGTATCTACTAGTGACCAATGTTAAATTATCATGCACATAAATGCATTGTAGTTTGGACTTATGGCATATGGACATGACACCGTCACTGTATGTTCTACAGGGACAATTTCTTAACACCCATGCAGCTTGAGATGCATGACGCTTCAAAATACCAAACAAAAAGACCTCCACTGACTGATCCGCTGCTCTTAGCCTCAGTCAACCTGTCCTCTGACGTACATACTCAGGTTAAATTACCCGAGACCAAAGGGTCACCCCTGAGTAGCATTCCCTCTTCTTCCCTTACGGGTCCCGTCCACCCACAGGGTCAACGTAGCTGACTCCAATGTCCAGAGAACTCAGAGGACTTGACTCGCGTCCAAATTATGAGAAATGTCTTGGAAAAAGACTAAACAGAACATATTTATTGACTAACTATTGTCACTTACTCAATTATACCCCCTCAAAATGCACATTTAGCTATCTCGCGATGTCACATCCTTGTACACTAAAGCTCCCCTGAGGGTTTCCCGAGGAATGTCAAACCTTGGAGACCCCTTGCCCCGCACGGAGTCGCAGGGAGAGATACTGCCAAGATTCTCAGATGACAGCACCTGTCAAAGCTGTGAAGCAATTTGGGGGGGGAAGTGGAGTGGAGAGATAAACACACCAGTATGAGAGAGGTTTGGTTTCTTGAAGCATTATAAAGTAACATCTCTAACTTTGCTGAGGGCATTTTCTTAAAACCGATATAAAACATGTCTGATTCAAAGTGATGGATGAACTCTAACAGCATTTCTCACAAAAAAGGATCTATGCGGAATTTGATCAACATAGCAGAAAAGACAGGAAGGTGTAATAATGTGAAAGTCTCTGCAGTTAAAATATTTTTAAAAGGTCATCAATTTCTCTTTCTCCATTTTGAGATGTGCCTGATTTGCAGTGCAATTTGAAGGTGTATCATAAGATATGTGCATTTCAATAGAATACCCAGCATGCATTAAAACAAAGTTGAAAGCCTAGAAAAAAGCAAAATATTCTATATTTTTTTCTTCAATTCAGTTCCGGTAGCTCCAATGACAATTTTCCTTATATTGAAATGGACAGGTCAACGGAGGTTGATAAACCCTCAACATTCAAATGAGAGACTCCTATATCAAAACTTTTCCATATTGGAAACTACCACACACAAGTTAAGAGTGTTCCTAGGTTCTGAATCGGATCCTTCCCTAAAATACCAGCTCGAAAAACGTAACAATAGAGGATAAATCAGAAATCTCCATCTCTAATTTTGAGTCTATTATTGATACCAAATATAGGATTTGTCATTTTCTTCTGTTATTTCATTTCTAAAAACATAAGTTAAAACCCATTGCAAGCCATCTCTTTCGTTTAATTTACGCAGCTGTTTTTGATGGTGCTGAATAGGAGCGTTTATTTTTTAATGAAGCCTGTTTTACCTGTAGCAACTGTTAGCTGATTTTCCTCAAAAGCGCTTTCAACGATCCATACTTTGATAGGAATGGAGCATATCCATCAGAGGATCATTTTGCTGAATTACATCTTTATTTTTATTTTTTTATTTTCATAAATTCATTTAATTTTTTTCTTGACCAGTTATGTACAGGTCACTAGTCCACCTCTCATCCAATGTCAGATAAGGAATAAAGGATAGATAGGGGAGGGATAAGCTTTAGCACTGTGCCACAACTGAGCACAAACAATTACTACCAACTGTTAAACACGGAGGTGGATGGATGGTGATGTGGGTCTGCTTATCAGACACAAAACTGAGCACATTGCAGTGACTCAGTCAGCAAGTAGTCTAAAATAATATGTGACGCAATTCGACTTTCTGTCAAAATTTGGCAGAAACTGTCCAGAAATTGTTCCAACTGTTGCAATGATAAAAAAAGAAGATGTGGTGGAGCCTGTAGGGAGTTTTAGAGTACATGTCAACAAACTCTAGTTGACTAAAACCACATAAAGAATTCTTCTTTATAATGCTGTGACACTAAAAATGTCATCCAGAAAACATAGTGAACCTAAGTCTATGCTAAAGGTCTTTTACAAGCTATTGAATCATGGGGTATACTTTGTGTATTTCAGACTCATTTTAGATAAACAAATAAGGGTGGAATATAACACGCTGTTGATGTGAGGGAGTTTACTGAAATCTAATTGTTGAAAAAGCCCTATTTTGTCTCGTTTGAAACATTGAAAGGAGGTCTGCTTTATTGTTCCTACGATTTTATGTTGATTTTGATACTGATTAGACACCAGACATTTTATGAAGCTGGTTTGTTGGACACAACCGAAAACAGATGTCCTCTGCAGTCAAAAACAAAGTCATGAGAACAGTGAGAGCGGGGCAAAACTATAAATTAGACAGCTGCAGTGGGCTCAGTCCCTCGGAAGCCAAAGCTAGCAACATACTCGTAGCAATGCACAGCGGAAAGTAAACAAAGGTAACAACTCTTTTCAGATTACCCACCAAGGGCCATTTCATCTTAATAAAATATATGAGTGTAAAATATACTGTACGGCTGAACTAGCATTGTCCTACCAACAAAAAAAAACACACAGCTGTTTGGATTATGGTATAGATACTTAATTTTTAAAAAACCCTGTTGCTTGAATTCACACAATTCTATATCTGTAGAAAATAGTTAAATGTTGATGGCGATGTGAGCAAAAGAAAATGAAAAAAGAAAATGTCAAAGCTGTTTTGGGGCTTTGTTCTGCTTCACAGAGGTAACAGTGTCACTGCTTTATTTTTGTGTGTCAGCAGTCTGAAGCCATCTCCCTGTTCCCTTACTCTTATCACGTAAGAGGAAATAGAGAAAAAAAGGATTTACTGCACTGATTGGTGCTTTATCTAAAACTGTATCTCGCCACTAATGGAAAGGCCGGATAAGATAGTCCACATGTCAGTCGAGGTTGGTTTATGCAACGGGGCAGGAGCAGTGTATGGACTTCTAATTGGACAAAGGGACGTGCAGAGGAGGTGGTTGATGGAATCTCTTTGTGTTGCTGTACAGTTAGAGAGTGGTGGACGAACTTTTGAACTCATTAGAGAGCAGCTTTTTAAACGACACGAACGCATTCCTGTGGAGAGACGGCGCAACATTAAAGAGCAGTTTTGCTTTTTTTTTTTTGCACTGGTGCGCTTATTTGTTCCACAGCAAACACCACAAGGGATGGCAACTCCAAAAGATCGTTTGGATGTGTTCACACAAAATGTGCAAATAGTAAAAAAAAAAAAGACGTTTAAATCTTTGAGATAGAGTTCATTGCTTGGCTGCGCTGTGTTTAAATAAACATACATGCATCTCATAAATAATATTGGACTAATAAATATCCTCTTGGAACTACTCTCACTGGAAATGTTTCAAAACATAAATTCTCTAATAGTGAATAAAACTATGGTGTAAAATGAAAATGAATGATAACGTTTTTTTAATGTTTTTTCTTTTACCATGACAGTGTCACATAAATGTTTTTAAACAATTGTGGCCCACATTGCGTCTCATGATGAAGGATTTTGAATAATAAAATAAATAGTAACTCGAACTGAAAACAGACAAAAGTAGCGACACATCAGATTGAAATCTCACAAACTCACATTTCACAATTGTAAGTAACATGTATGGACAGTGAGCCTGTCCAATCCTTTGTATATTCAATCAATTGGTCGTTGAAGATGACCAGGACACAATGAATGTGTCACAGCTCTTAAATTCCTAGAGTTTTCATTCAGAAGTTAAAAAAATACTAGCAACAGTGGAGCCTTGTGAAAGTGAGTCAATTATGCAAGTTTAACAAAAGTTTATATAGAGCCGATTTGGTCAAAATATTAAAAGACATCCCACATTTCAAGGCAGATGTCAAATATTTAACTTGTAAAACTCTGAGTTAAATAGAATGATTGAAATATAGTCACTCAATTTGTATCTGCACATTATAATCAATTATTTTTTTCTCTTTTCCACCCAGGCTGTCAAATAATGACTATTTGATTATTCTTTTCTGTTTGACATCAGTGTTTTGCAAGATTTTACCATCTTTATTTAGTGAATGACTTGTATATTTATACTTTGCTGGCTTGTTGGTCTGGATAATTCTAAAGTCACTAATCTGCAAATGCACCGATCACTTGTTCTGTTGAAGTGAATAATTTGTGTTAATAGAATTTATATCTTCATTTTTTATGTTTTTTTCTTTGGATACTTCCATCAATCTGAATTTTCAACCTGAACCACATAGGAAAAGCTTGTTTGTTCTTTTTGACAACTACTATAAGGACTATAAGGATGTTTTGTCATAACAGCAGTTCAGATCCACAGTGGTATCAAACCAGCTTCTCCCCATTCATTTGGCTGGGCTGAATTAAACAATAAACTATGAATGATTTCAAATATTTGTTTGGCTGGATTATTTTGAGGTGAACAATGTATACACAAAAAGAGGAGAGGTATTTGGTATGAGTGACGACAGAAAACTGGAATCTTCTAAAGATGAACAAAAGTTATGCACGCCTTCTATATGTAGTGTAATTTTGTTGCTGAAAAGTAAGTGAACTGTGTGTAGAAAACATATAAAAAAGATGAAAAAGAAGAACTGAGCATCGTTTCTGTGCTAAACTGTATTTGTATGCAGATATACAATATATATATATATATATATGTATATATCAACATTGTCAAACTCATTGACATAATAAAAAAAGAGAATCATATGTAAATATATATCCAGAGAATTAAAGAAAACCATTTACATTCAAACAGCAGTGTGGAGTCAATGTGTCAAGACTATCAAAGTTAGATACAGTACAATATAAACAAAAACTACTGACAGCGTCCTTAATGCTTTGTCATACTTTGCAACATTGACAGAGTATCACTTGAGACTTTAAAAAACTCTACGAGGAGTCATATAAAAAACCTTTTACACATAAATACACAAAATGGATGCACAGGATTTACTACACATGCCAAAAGCTATAAAAGCCTTTGAGTTTTCCACGGTTTTGATGAAAATGAATACAGCGTCATCAATGTCTGTGATGCATCGCAAATTAGACATGAATTGCGATGAAGACTTCATAACCATATCGTTGTAAATCAATCACTTAGTCAGGGTAATTATGCAAAAGGTTTTACATGTAAGTGGAGAAACTGTCCGGCAGATCTGACATGAAAACAGAGAAACATTCCGTAATACTGCATCCCACACAGGAACTGTAGCCTTGACTTGCGTGATCATGTTCATGTGTCCGAAATTAACCCACTCCCTTTTTACTAGAAACATTTTTTATGCATCAAATTTCTTCAAAATAAAGTGCATCGGATTAAACACTGAAACTTTTAAGCATGGACACTGATGGAAAAAAAAAAACAACTAAAAAGAAACATTGAGAAAATAAAGGACATTAATTTGTTGGCGAACATTTTCTTTTAGAAATTAGACTAATGAAGCTCACCATGCACTCTAATAAAAGGAAAAGTAGAAGTATTTGAGGTCAAACATCCAAATATGACCGGCCTTTTTCTTACCTGGGAATCTGATTTGGGAAATAGGGGAAACTTTAATAAACTCAAACCTCGTAATCCAATTCTAGTAAGGGCAATAAACAGGTCATTAGCATTCTTGCTAATGACGTGGATCTAATTAGATCAGTTGTACATGTGCCGTCTACAGCGTTTCGATTTGTGCAAACGGTTACAGAATGCCATTGACTTGTATTGCTAATCATCACTAGCTTGGGCAATTTGTGTTTTTTTCTGCCTTTTCTGCAGTAAAACAACCAACATAGGTTAGCTTTGGGCTAATTGGAACATAACAAGGGGTGGACATAAAGTATACGGGTTTATGGCAGGTCATGAAGACAGACACATACAGTAGCGTGTTTAGGGTTCCCGGTTAGAAACACAACTCATCTTTCTCTCTAAAACAAGGTACACACACGTTTAATTCTCCTCATTAAGAAATGGGTTTACAAAAATATTTACACCAGCTAATAGTGACTCCTGTTCCCAGCAGTGTGGACAAAGATTTTCAATGTTAAATTAAACTATACGAAAAATAAACAACAAATGTGAATATGTGAAATGACCACATTGTGGAGTGGGTCTAGAATCATGTGACTGATCTCATTATTGTGAACGCAAATGAGCATTGAGATACAAAAAAAAGAAAAAAGCTTTCTTTTTTAAAACATTTCAGTTGCGGAAAAAGAGCTCTCATGAAAATTAAAGTCACGGATGAATTATGAATTACTTTTTTTATATTTAATCAAGGAAAATTTGATCTCCTCGCTTACTCTTTTCCCCAATTTCTCATCTTTTGGAGCAAAGAGATATTTAAACTGAACATAAAGGCTTGGTTATTACTGCATCTTTTTCATTTCTATTTTTAAAGAGCAAGTTGAATACTTGTAGAATCCTCTTCACAGGGAGGATTAAGAAAATAACCATGTAATATGATGGTAATTTCCCAAATAAGTAAAGTAATTAGCTTTGAATAATTTAAAAACTCAGCCGGTTACTAAAGGAGGACTGAAAATGGCTCCCTTTTCACATGAAACTGAAATCTGAAGTAGAATGATCACAGTTTGTACAGGTACTAGAGAGTGTTTGTGTTGATTGCACTTTTTTTATTTAAAAAGCCTTGTCCTTAAAAATCCTAGATGTGCATCTAATCAGAAAAAAACATTAAAAAACGTAATATAATTTTGTCGTAAGCACCTACAGATAGCAGTCATATCAGGTTTTTTTTCAATTGTGAGAACATTTGGGAAGAATGAGAGTGGAGACAGCAGTGAAAGGGAATGTGTGTGACTGAACTTTTAAATCAAAGTTTAAGAAGTAGATACTAAAAAACTTCCAATTCCACAATGGCTTCTCTGCGATAAAATAAAGGTGCCAAGTGACATCACAACCAAGTTTTACGTTTTTTTCTGTGGTTTGAAGGATAAAGAAGTTGGCACTCAGACAATAAGGGGAAAACCTGTTGATTCAATATTAACTAAATTAAAAAAAATATATAAACAAGAATGCTTTGAAGGTTTATGTGTACCTGGCAAGAAGTCATATGAGTTCATAAATGTCTCATTCTGAGGAAAGCGTAATATGTTGTCTTCATAAAATACTGTTTGGTACTCTGTCTCTTTAAATAAACATGAATATGTTAAATATATATAGATAAATTAAGTAAAAATTAAAATGAACACTATAATATAGTTTTGATATATTATGATGCACCTGTTAGATGTCCTCTCTCCCTTTCCCTTCTCTGTCGAAATATAAAGAGAATGAAGGAGGTGAGATTTTTGGGTTTGGCACTATCTCTGTCAAAGGAATACACAGTATAACCAAAGGCTCTTTTTGTGCTCAACATGCTCCCTAAAGGCTAAACAAACAGACACCGTTCATTCACTTTAAAACCATTTTGTCAGGCAGCAAGTTTGAAAAAACAACACTGGCATTCGAATATGAATATGTCCAGCTCCATTTTAAAGCAGCAGACAAAGCAAAGTTTAGGAACCCAGCTCATCTTCGTGTGCTGTTAAAGGTCTGTGTGTTGGTTTAAAAAAAAAAAAGAGATCTCTTCATTTCCTTAGGTGGGTCACAGATCTTGTGAACAATCGCTTTCCAGGCTAAATTCCTCTGATGCTGTATCTACACGGAGAGGATCTGCAGCTCCGAACGGGATTGCGGATCTTAAGGGAGGTGGAAAGTTCGGGCTGAGTCCGACTGTCCGAGACTCCGGCGGTCAGGCAAAAGGGTTGTCCGATTTTAGGATGGACACGTCCGCTTCGGGGCAGCCCTTTCCGTTCATGTGTTCCGAGTGGCTGTCGATGCTGTAGCAGCCCTGCACCTCGGTGATGGAGGAGGCCGTGTAGGAGGCTGAACGCAGGGCATCCGAGTGGTTTCCTATGCTGCTGCCAAACTGGAGATTATACTGGTTCCAGTGTCGCCTCAGTACTGCTTGGACCTAAGCATACAAAGGACATTTCAGATCATAAAGGAAATGCTCGGTTATACTTGATATAGAGATAGAATTGACATGTCTTTGTAAAAGTTCTTGTAATTGAGAGTATGCACTACCAAAACTTATGGGTAAAGCTTTTTCCTAAGCATGAAAAAGCCAAACCAACCCTAGTTAGCAAGTCTCAAATTGTTATCCAAAGACAGACTCCAAAAAAGGAACATAAAGTTCTCTTGAGGGAAATAAGTTCATCAATCTGCCTTCTAATACCGTGGCTATAGAGACAATCTATAACAAATAAAACAAAAGATACACAAAGAAAAGAAAAACTAACATCGTATTTTAGACTAGCTAAGTTACTCCGTCTGGCTCAAAAACTCAGAAATAGATCATTTATAGGGAGTATTGTATTGCGAGTACATGTCTGCTTGAAAAAAGCCAGCCTATCTGTAATCCAGGCTTCTGTAAACACACTCAGTGTTTTAAGGATACTGTGGATTAGTATCTTCAGCCATATCTTTTGGAACCACATCAGGAAAATATACCTTCCTTGTATGGTGTTATCTTAGCAAGATAAAATTGTAGTGTTTCGACAAAGATTTCTGGGTAGCAACTGGAACCCAACATAGAAATGTAGGAGATGTAGCCAATGAATAGTCCCTTAAAAGAGTAAAACTATCTCTGATATAAAACCTCTACTTGGTATTATTAGCCCAATGAGATTACTGTTACCAATGAGATTACTTATTAATTAAAGCATTAAAAACTGTTGTTTGTGTTCATGGTTAACAACAAGAATATTAACATATTTTTAGGGCTTTCTTGGAGTGTGAGACTCCTAACCTAATATCCAATCCATTTTCTTCTACAGTGCAAAAAAAAGAAAATTAATCATGTTGCACAACAAGAGGACACTAACATTGTGTATCACTTTGCTTACATGCATTTATTTCTCACTGTGCTTGCACGTACTTTATACGGATATGGCATTACTGAAAACTGCTCTCATTTTATATTGTTTCTGTTTATTTATAATATATACCATCTGACTATATATATATATATATATATATATATATATATATATATATATATAGTCAGATGGTGGAACAAGCCCCAGGACTGTGACTGATAAAAAAACTGTTCCATTAACATTAAGAGATCAGTCACTGATCTTTTTAAAGCAAAGTAGAAGAAAACGGAAAGGAAGAATCATTATGTGACTTTTTTTTCTGCGGCTCTACTTCCAGGTTTCTATGGAGTGGCAAAAGTTGTCCCATAAATCTTACATTTCTTGCCAGAAGTTCTTTTGAAAAATGTCCCTGAAGGGCCTGGAAGGTAACAATCTAGCAACAAATCCATCAATTTGGCCAACCTGGCATATATTTGAATTCACAGGTATTGTCTTACTTATCGGGTTGGTGAATTCGACAGATGATGGCATAGTCATAAAAAAACTGGATTTTATTGGAGCAGAGTGGTGGTCATGAACCACCCAAAGCGGGACAATTTGAAGTGTATTTGAATGTGAATGAGAGCAGCTTCATTTGGGGCATATAGAGTTGACAAATATACCAAGTATTCTCCTGTCTGTTGAAGCAAACACAGGTCAAAACTTGGTTCATGAATATTCTACACAAGTAGAAGGTTGGGCCACATTTCACCTGTTTTAGCCTTTCCATTAGTATCATCATGTGGTTTTGATAACATCTTTAATTTCTCTTCCACAATGGATTCTGTCTGTTTTGATAAAATATCTAATAATCGCTTATGTGCACAAACCTAATAATACACCGGCCTTTGACTGTATAATTAGCTCAGAAGGCCAATTATTTAACTGGAGCAGAGAGTTTCCATGTGCTGTCTAACTCTCTTTCTAGATAATAGAGAAATTATTCAGATTTATTATTCAGATAATCTTGTTAAACATTTCTTTCTAGCAAATACATGCTGTTTATATGTTTTATATTACTTCATGTTCATTATAGTGTCCATGGGTTACTTGCAATAACCTTTTAAAGTCAAAATAGCCTCTGCTGGACTAGGATCCATAAGGCAAAACCCTTTTCCACCACAGGATAAACCCAGAGAATGCTGTGTAGGTTAACCCTGATCACAACAAGGAAGTAGGAAAGAGTGCATGCAGGTTTAAAAAAAGAAGTAAAAGGACATAACCCCAACTTACTTCTCCATTGAAAAAGCAGAAGATGGTGGCCACAAGCAGACCCTGGAATACAAAAAGAAATATATATGTAAAAAGACATACATCTTAGTAATACGTCTTCAACAAGTTGTTTGTTGACATTATCTCAAGCTCTAAAGTGCTGTGAAGCAGAGAAACTTAAGACCTCACAGAAAGGCGTTCTCAGATCTGATGCAGACTTTTGCTCAAGACGTTTTTCCTGCACTGGTCAAGCTCGGTCAGCACAGGAAGATCAGATAATACCTTGTCAACATCCAACTGAATTGAGCCCCCTTTCAGCTCAGATAATTCATGCCTTCCTTCCTGCTGTTCTGCCCTGGGCTAGGGCATAAACAGAGTTTCCTCAAGGGGCTCATGCAAATATCTGACTTTAACTAAAGGCTAGGACAATAATAAGTTCAGATCAGATCACGCAACAAATCGATTCGGACAAATGAATACCTCTTCTTATGGTGGAAATAGGAACCGCGTAATCAAGTTTCTACAATTACAGCCTAAAAGATAAAAGCTCTTAGCATGTAACATTGTCGTGGAGCCAAAAAGTAAGAGCTTGACAAATTAGCACTCAGCTCAACCCTTCAAACAGAGCAAAGACCACCATCTCACCTGGTAATGCATTAGTATGTGCATGATGTAGTCGTATATTTCCGAGGACACTCGTCCGTCGGGCTTGTAGGGCAGCAGAACGTACTGGATTCCCAGAAGAGGCACCAGGATGAGGGTGGCCCGCACCGCCTTCATGTAGAGACTCGACTCCGCCTGGTGGGTCACCTTCAGCTTGGTGATGAGAACTCGCACGATATTTAGAAGGAAGAACAAATTGACCTGTCGACACGTGAAAGCAACAGATCCGCTTTACAACCAGATTCTCAAAGAAAATTGAATAAAATCAAATCAAATTTTTTAGTAAAGCAGCACTGCACATGTGAGGAAGCGGTCAGTGTTTTGGTTTGGTTGGAAAAATAATATTTCATATGGAAATGAGCAAAAATCATTAAAAAAAATTATAAGACTTTTTTTTCCTTATAGTTTTCTCAGTAAAAGCAAGATCAATTTGTCAATTATGATGAAATGGCCTCTGGTTTGGGAGATTAAATGAATTCCTACAGCTTAAAGGTGTTTGACTGACATTGCATACATCCTCATTTATTATTTCAAAGCCACTCTGTGGTACAGTAAGGATAGCTTCTCAGTTGAGAGGCTTCAGGGTGTGTTTAAGCACTGGATTAACAGTTAATTTATGACAATTTATGACAAAAAAAACCCAACTCTGAGTAGTTCTCCAGAATGAAGTCTATCATCTAAGCACATCATTTAAAATATCCAAATGTTGCCATGAAGGCCAATCCTCAAGAGATTTTCAGCATTTTAAAAGTATGCACAACTTCTAAATCTACATCAAGCGAATACTTTCGTCCAAAGTGACCACCAAACGTGGACAAAACATCAAGCTTTAATAAAATTAAAAATTCTGGTCTATGCATTGAGTCGTATCGTCATTATGAATATATTGGAATGACAGAGAATCAGTAGAGTAGGAAAAAAGCATAAAAGTGCAGGTTATATGAATTTAGATTTCAGGGTAGGTGGTCACAGAGGAGATTTTTTAAAAGTAGAAGGACACCTCTGTTCAGATAAAAACAGCGTGACTCACTATACGACAGTGGAATCTCAAATTAGTCGAGTCTTTTGAGGCGAGACGGGAGCGACGGCATAACCTTGACGAGAGTGTGTAGGGAGTGTTAGTTCTGTTAATTAAACTTTTTGGGAGAAATTCTCCTGAGGACATAACTTATCTCTTTTGTTCTTCCTATAATGAAACCAACACATCAATAGCATCAGGAGCAACAAACTCTGGAAGTCATAAGTTAAAAAAATGACTATTTCCACCAATCACTTCATATGAAAATTCAGATCACCAAATTCTAAACTGGAACATCTGCTTCGAATCTTATTAATTTAAGTTCTGTCTTGAGTTTGTACCAACCCTGACACTTAACTGCTTAATTATATATTTAGAGATTCACATTCAAACCCATGTTACCTTCTAAAAGTCTCAAGTAGAACATCAGATCAGAGCGTATCTAAAAAGATCTGCAGAATGTCGCTGTTTACTGATTGGGCGAATTCCTAGAAAAACTGCACAAGCCAAGGGACCCGTGGGTGGATCCCCTAGGAGCCGATGAATTGATTTCTCAAGACAAACACAAATAAACAATCACCGAAACCTTGTCTGATCGCGGGGCCTCCCGCAGCGTCCGCATACGGGAGGAACTGTTTATCTGCGCGAGATAAACAGCGCACCGAGGGCTACATTCCACAGATCAGTGGCTTCATTGGAGGAAACAGACATGCCGTGATTTTCAACTGTTGTTTTTTTGATTGGCGTCGGGGGTAAGGGTGAGCCCCTCTTACCAAAAGAGCGGCGCAAATGGGGCCGTGGATGATGTAGAGCAGTGACGTTTTGGAGCTAATCCAACAGCTACAATAAAAAGGAGAACAAAACAGAGTCATTTACACAACAGTATCTGTGAATGTAACTAATTAAACAGATAGGCTTTCTGAGAAATGATTTGGAAACAGTTCAGTGGAGAAAATCATTAGACACACTGTTCTTTGTTGAGTATTTGTTATTTGATTTTGTATTTCCGGCAGCACGGTGGTGTGGTGGTTAGCACCATCGCCTCACGGCAAGAAGGTTCTGGTTTAAAGTCCCCGGGGGAACCGGGACCTTTCTGTGTGGAGTTTCCATGTTCTCCCTGTGTCTGTGTAGGTTCTCTCCGGGTTCTCCAGCTTCCTCCCACCATCCAAAAACCTGCATGTTCGGTTGATTAAACATTCCGAATTCCAAACTTGATTTAGTTCCTCTTTGTGTGTCTATGTACCCTGCATCTTGCCCACTGAATGCTGGGATAGGCTCCTTTCCCCCCCAATGACCCCATTAGGGAATAAGTGGTCCAGATAATGGATGGATTGTCAGTTTTGGACTAAGGTGTTAGCTTACTTGTCGTTGTAGTAGTAACTCCGAGCAATGGCGTGTATGGTAGCTGGAATGAGAGGAAACCCTGTGTAGGAAAAATAAAAACTGACTTAAGTCAAAATTAACAGAGTAAACATTTGAATAGGTGTAATTGTGATTAGTGGGTCATGAATGTGAAACTGACCCCATCCCAGGAGGTAGTACCACATCAGGTGCTGCTTCTCTGCAAAGACGGCCACCACGATGAGAGTGTGCAGATAGATTCCCTCGCACAGCATCCAGAAGTAGTTACACCCAAACAGGTACAGGTGAATGAACTGGGAGACCTTACAGCTCGTCTGAGGAAGAGAAACACACACAGAGCTGTTTCGTGGCAGATGTTCAGACGCTTTCTGGAACACAAACGCTAAAAACCACGACAAGCAGCAGTGAAAATTGGACTACGGAGTGAGTGCAAGTGAGATTGTGGTAGTGAATTCATGATATGTTATGTGGAACACTTCCAAAGTGATTTGGCATAGTTTTGAATCATTACTTTGAAGTTACACAAAAATCCTGTTTGATGTATATCTCAGTGATTTTTGGAATATTGATAGTGTGATATCTTTTTACAGCAAGTTAGTGATTCTTTCTGAGAAGTCAGGGAATGTGCTAATTAACACTTTGAAAGTCATTTGACCTAGATTGTATTCATTACTGGGAGGTTATAGCAAAATCCTGTTTTGTGCATATCATCGCGAATGCTACTTATTTTTTGATTTATAATGGAAAGTGTGATCATTTGACTGAAAGTGAGTGCAAGTGAGATTTTGGTTGTGAAGTCATGGAATGTTATGTGGACCTAAAGTGACGGACTAACCGGATTCCTCTGCACCAGCTCCTGGTTGTTTGCCACCGCCGTCAGCCAAATGATGGTGATCACAGAGTTCAGAACGAAAGAGAAGAAGAGGTTTTTGTGAAGGGTGATCCTTTGGCAACTCAAACTTCTGCAACAAAGAAAGGAAACATCCGAATGTAAATGTTACCTGGAAGTTTGTATAATTTATGCAAAGCTTTCTTAATGAAGGATGCTGAGATGACAAATGTTGACTCACTTGAAATGGAAGAATATAGCAAGGGAGACGAAGAGAGAGGTCAGCGACAGGCCGTGTCCTATCAGTGCTAAGTAGAAAAGATTCATCGCCGTCTGAAAAGACAGAAATCAACCATTTTATTTAAGGCAAAATTCAATCTTTTTGCTCTTTTATGAGTTCTCGCTGCCTGTTCTCCACTGTGAGATCAATAAAGCTCTTATCTTATCTTATCAACCGGGAAGAATTTTTCTTTTTGTTTGTTTTCTCGTAGGGTGTCCGAGAACTATTGTGCGATTGGTCAGATGTTATGTGGGCGGGGTTAGCTTGTTGTGCCCTCCCAGAGGCTGATATTCAGTGTGAAAGGTTGGCAGATATCCTTGCTCCCCTCTTCTTCCTTCATCAATTCAAAAACAGCCCTCTTTTTCTGTTTTCGTGTCGTGTTTTGTGAACTAAACGTGTGACGTCGGCTTCAGTGGGCGGGACTTTCCAGAAGACCAGCTGCCAAATCACTCGTGTAGTATGAATTGTCAGAGCCAAAAAATTAAAAAAAAATTGTTCTTCTTCTTGCCACCTCGGGAACAAGAACAAATTTCCCGCTTTGACGTAACAGCCTTTAGTGTGTTTGCTATTGTGCTCAAAAATAATTTTGGCAGAACTGCAGAATCTATTTTGTGCATGGAAGAACATGAATGTTCAGATCCAGTTAAGTATACAGCTTGTGTGAAAAATTACTGTCCATTCAACTTCACACAACTGGAAAAGTTTAGAGATGGACATTTGTGACCCTCTACAGGGTCACAAATGTGGCAGCTTACCATTCTGCCCTCGTTGGTGCGCTCGTTGCATTGGGTGTAGTTGGTCCACGTCCGGTTGCTCTCCGGATGAAGAAACCAGTGACCACTGTCGGTGCAAATCTTTGTGACCATTTCTACAGGAGAGTAAGCATGAAAAAGCCAATGTTGGTGATTTAAAGCACTTTACCTGTGCCATAAACGAAGACTCATCGCTTGATTACTTAATGGTCAATCAAATGCATATTTCAAACACGTCAGAAAACACTTTTTTGCTTTATCAATAATCAGTATCACAACTTTTGATTATATAGTTTTTGTCCTAACCCATAAGAGCCCAGATCCATTTTTCCCTAATGAAAAATTATATAGAAAGATCTGTGATTTCCAGAAGTTCCATAGGCCATTTTTAATAAATGTATTTTAGTTTGAATAAGTTGTTATACCTGGGTCACTGTGGGTTCTTATGGGTTAAAACTGAACCAAGCATGTTTGACTACAAGAGGCTACAAATCCCACCTGAAGGATCAAAATCCTGGAAGTAGTCTGGGCAGTGCTGCTCAGACACAACTCCTGCTTTAGTGTCATCCCAGCACAGCCAGCCATCCCAAGTCCGGTTACACATGGGCTCTGAAACCACAGAAACACATCCATATTCACAAATGCAATTCAGAAGTACCATCACTGTCCTTCAGCTTCACCATAAGGACCTAAAACCTCACTCAGTGGGCTCTTTGCTGTTTGTACAATGAAAATATGCATTAGGGATGTGTGGAAAAAACTTCAACATTCGGAAATACGAAAAAACATAAACACTACCTAGCCTACTGTGGGTGTTGTCCTTCATTATCTTTTGATAGCACTCAAACTGCGCCGTAACTATCTTGTTCCTGGTGACTCCGATGTCGTGGTAGACATTTGTCGGATGCTGCTGGGTTTCATTATGGTCCATGCTTGCTTTTGCCTGAAACTGAGAGAACGAAAAAGAATGTTCAAAAGTGTTCAAGCAATTTAAAGGAATATATATTTATATTTATTTATTTTTACGTTAGAACCCAACTAACAATGATATCTATATTTTTTATACATATATTATATTTTTTCAAATATTTTGTAATAATTTTGTTGTATTTTTATATATATATATTATTTTATATTATATTATATTCCTATATTATATTCCTTTTTTTTTACGTCAGTACCCAACTAACAATAAAAGTAATAGAAATGGAAAGGATGCAAAAGAAGGGATTCAAATAACCTAAAAAAAGAGGATTTCTCCTTAAATTCCAGCAGAAGACACATCGGAAGACTGAACACACAAAAGCAAAAATGCAGATAACAACAAACAAAAAAACAACAAAAAAACATGAGCATGTCAACATGAGAAAAATCATCGCTCTGCATCAACAACAGTCACACACAAACAAAAGACTGAGAACTGAGAAACCACATTAAAGCTTCTTTTCTCTTATTAAAGGTTATTTTCTCCTTCGAACTAGAGTCAAGGAAGCTCGGAAGGTCGCAGTATAAATGTGTTAAATGTGCTTAAAACATGTTTAGACACTGCTAATTAGTTTGGCTGCTACACAGAGGATTTTTCATGGCGGTTTTCAAACCCTCAAACTATGATGCAGTGGGGGTGATGAGCAGAAGTCGAGCCTGAACGGTGTGATGTTATAAATAGGCCGCTAACGACGCATTACAAGCCTCACATGCCATCCGTTTCTTTTGTCTGAAAGCTCGCTAGCTAACTGGAATTGCTGCAATTGGAACTAGCAACATGCATAAAAAAGTCGACTATCACATCAAACACACCTTCCTTTTACCCCTGCAGGTTTTTAAAAATTAGAATCCATTTCAGAATGTGCTGCAGAGTACCAAATAATACACTGAACCCTCAGTGTAAACACAAAAAACCTTAATCCCCGGCCTCTAATATATGACTGTTACGGCAGACAAATTGGCTTAATTCTCAACAGATCATATGAGAATATACACCCAACTATTTAAATATTATTTAGACTTAATCCAAATTCATATGTCAACTAAATGTGATTGTACAAATTTAAAATCCAAGCAATGCATCTTAGGTTGAACAAATATTTCTCCATTTACCATTCATTCAAGCCATTTGTCCTCAACTGCAGTTTTCCCAGCATCTTTTTTGGGATTTGGAAACCAAAATGTGTTGACTTCGTGATATTTTTGTAACTTTTTTCAAATAAGACTGTTTGATTTAACTTGGTGAGTGGCGATTTACTTCTATATGTTCATTTACTTTTGTTTTGGGAGTTTATTTATTGTGTTTTTCAAACAAGTATCACGCCTCTGTATTTGAATATGCTGTGGTGATATAAAAGTACAATTTGTATGGTCGTGTATTACCTTGGTTGAGATGTATTTAAGTAAAATTAATCACCCTTGGAGTATCCTAAGTTCATTTGAGATTCATTTAAACTGATATTTCCAATCAGTAATTTCCAGCAGTGCTTATTCAAGTCTTTACTAAATGCCCAACTTAATTTGACAGAGACTAAATAAATGTATAGCTGAATAGGTTGTTACTAAGTGATGGATGCCACCTGTGTACAACTTTTAAAGTATAGATGGATAAAAGAGCATGCTTCCAGGTCTCATCTCCACACATATACAAGTAATTCATTGAATATACTGTGCATGTGTGTGAGTGTGTAGGTGGTCTTACCATTGTTAGATTGCACAGAAGGACAAGTGCCACTATCCAGTTCCATCTAAAGTTGTCCAGCTTCCTCTCAGCCATTTTTGGACCAGTTGATGATTTAGCAACTTCAGATCTGGAACAGAAAAACAGGATAAAAACTCCCCATACAGGCCTCTTCACAGCACTCCTCGACTCTGCACTTCCTATAGCGCTAAATCCAGCCAGTAACGGTCTGTGAGGGTTATTTAAACATGGTCTAAACAAAGCAGACGGGAATTTCTATTAATAGCAACTTTATATCCAGATTTCTGGATCAATCCAAATGACCGGTAAGCAGCTGTGTTCTAAACTTAGCGAAACCGGCGAGCTGGATTGTTGAGACACACCAACCCGAAACCCCTCTGTGTCTATGTACAGGCTAATGTCTGTAAAACTGTGGGTCACTCTGGAATTAAATGCTCCCAAGATGCCCTCGGTTCAGTGATTAAAGAACAACACAGCTGAGGAAACAGGCCGCTCAAATGAGGCCAGCACAACACGGCTGTTCCACGGGATGCTCAAATTTCCCCAACAAAAGTCGCGTCTGCAGACCACATATTCCTCCTGCCGCACCGACTTATTTAGGTCATTCATCCTTTGCAGAAAATCTTAAACGTGACAGCGGTTGTAAATAGTTAGAGTGTTGCACATATCGCTTTATGAGGTAAGGTTTAGACCTCTGCACGGCAGAGCTCTGGAGGGTTGTTTAGAGGAGAAAAACGCCACCCGCTGCATACCAGATGAGCCAGAATTCAAACACACACAAATCCCTCATGTAGCAAACATTAGCTTTGTGAAAGAGTTGATTTTTACCGTTGCCGTTACGACATCTACATCAACTGTTCTCTTTGTCTGAGATCTTGATGCAGATATGCCTTCAGGGAAGAACCTGAACCAGAAAGTCCCCTAATAAAACTAGTACAAAACATGAATTAATTCACGCAAACTATTGAAATAGAGAAAAACGGAAAGAATAATGATTAACGGAAGTCACCTTCCATTCCAAAGTCACCTAAAATGTCAAATACGTTGGTTGACATTTTTGACGAGCCATGATTGTTTTTGCACTTCAAATATTTATGTGTCAATTCATTGCTGATATTGTTAATCTTATGGTTTCCGTGATCCAAAAATGACTGCATCAGGCTTTCATTTCCATCTCAAAACATGTCACAACTCTCGTTGGAATAAGAATTGCGATTTTTCATTTCAGAAAGGAAAAAAAAGCTGCAGAAAACCACCAGGAACAACAGATCCTTTCTGCTAACTCACTTTCTTTCTATTGTGCTCCAGATTCCCGACAGGGACAGAGAAAATTTCTTTTATTTTGATTTCTCTTTGTAAAATAATGAGCAGTTGCCGTGCGTTGCTTACTTTACAATGTTCAAGCTTGTGTGTGTCGTAAATACTGCAATTCTACATGATTTTCAGTAAAAAAGGACCCAAGACGGGACTAAAACCTGTCTTGGGTAGAACCCTAATTTCTAACACATCTACCTAGACAAATAGAATCGTTGCAGATTAGTTTAAATATTCAGTCTAGATGTTTGTATCAGGCTACTTATTTACCTGTCAACATTCCATGTTGTTTCATCTCGGCTAAAAGCTTGAACATAAGTTGTTTAATTCCCACATCAATTTCATCTGTGAGTGTAGGGCAGCATAAGCAGGAATTCATAAAGAGGCAAGCAGGGGCCAGTTATGTTTACAGCAAAAAACTGATTTAATCTGTTTATTCCCACTCACTTCAATGCAGCTTCGTCACCAGAGACCGGCCCTCTTGCTTGCCAACAGTTTCAAGAGTTCTATACCAAGGAAATCACTGCAAATGGAGGAGGGGATCACTGCGAGTGGGATTGTAAAACATTAGGGCGACCTGCAAAACGGAAACTGCCCAGAGAAGCTCTGTCATACATGTATTAACACACACACACAAGTGTTCGCACGCACCCACTCAAATGCACGTGCAGCAGTCAGCTCCGCGCTGCCAAGTTCTCCATCTGTTTCTTGGCGAGGGCCGCGTTTCAAACAGAAGTAGCGATACAGAGGATGCGTCTTGTCAGATGGCAAAGAACAGACGTAAAAGAACACGCTCTCAACAGGTTCCCGTCTTGTAGCTGCAGTTTATGAATTAATGTGCGTCCTAAACCCACATAATCCACACGACACGCATAATGTCATTGCATTTTTTTTAAAAAGCCACTCCTAGCAGCACCTAATCTTGCAAATTTGTGGGAATGCTGACAACCTACATATGCTAAAGGGCAGTTAAAGGAATTCTTCTACACAGCTGAACATGTGTCCAGAGTGTTGATCCAACCAGGAGCTATCTTCTGTCCATGGTTACAGTTAAACGGGGTTCCTGGTTTCCAGCAGAACCAGGAACGGATCGTTAGCATTAGCAACATTACCCTGACTTATCTTTAATACTTGTCCTTTCAGAATCTGACGTCATTGCAAATGTTGCACCACCTAGAAGCTGCTACTGCGCCTTTTTTCCCAGAACAGCTCAAATGATCACAAGTGTAGAAGACATAACTCTGCTGTTCTTTCCTCTCTGACGTCATTCAGCTATTATCGGAATTGTGAATACAAAAATCAAACCGTACACCTTGTTAGTTACTAACTAACAAGGCAGGAAAAGCACAAAAGATAATGTAAATACTACTAATAAATAAGAGCACATTTCTTGTGAAACCACATAATAGGTATACTGGGACAGCCGTAAAAACAGATAAATAATTAACCCTTTAAAGCCTGATCCAAGGAAAATAGGAAGAATATTGGACTTTTTTTAGTCTGGAGTCTTTCTTTGGCCCCTCAACAACATAATAAGAAAAAAAAAACAGAAATTATTTTGATCAAATTAGCGTGCAATAAGTCAAAAATATATTTTGGTGTAGTCTTGTTGTGTACCACAGGGGTTTGAGCAAAGCTTTTACCACTGAATGATGCAAAAAGTCTCAGGTCCAAAAGACTTCAGAAACCGTATCTATCAAATATGATACATTTGGCATTATAGGGTTAAGAATCCATAGCTTGAAAAGGTTTTACAGGAAGATTGCACTCTACCTTGGACGCGAGCTGCAGCACAACGCTAATAAAGCAACATCCACGGAAGTAGAAAACGTGATTATTGATCTGTTTGAAATGTAAAAAACAAAAACTGCGCAAACTTGTGGGTGGCCCGTGATTATGCGAGTGCCTGGGAGAGTTTCACTCGAGTGGTTAGTCATGTAAACTTTGCACAAGAGATGACATCACCAATTACATCTGCTGGCATGCCGAAAGTTACCCAGGAAAAACAGCCTACGCACAACATCTGTTCTCTTATCGCCCAGTGCCAGATCCCTGCCTCCACTTATCATCTCCCTCTCTCCCTGCAGACATGTTAGGCTGGCTGTAAACATCCGCGTCCAACCACGAGATGTTTGCAGTTCCACACCCAATGGCATTCGGATGTCCATTAGACCGGTGAAGACCTCTGCCCACATTACTGCCTCCTTCCATCATGGGTCACACAATTAGTAGCGATAGAGGAAGGCATTAGAACCATGTGTCTTCAGGCAGAGGAACAGGATTTTAACTCTAGTCTGCCATCCAGATACGGAGTACATTGCATGCATGTGACAAATACAATAAAGTTGTTTTTTCAGAAAAAGAAAATCCTTTTCAACCCACTGATGTATGCTCCATAAGTAAATTAAGACTCATCCAGTTTGTTTTTTGAAGTCTTAACTATGGTCAATACAATGGCGATTAATAAAGACAATGCCCATTCATTCAAGTGAATGACAAGTAATCAGAAAATACTGTGTGGCAATACTGGAATGTTTGCTTATCAGACTATCAGAGCATCTTTCAAACAAAACTGCTTGCTGATTAAATATGGCACATGCAGCAGGGATGCTTCCTACATTTGACGTCTGATTAAATATAGTAACAACAAAAGTAAACAATGGGACCATTAAGAATCATTGGTCGCGCAACGTTAAGCAAATTTAAACAATTTCAGACTTTTCTTATAGTATTTTCTAAGTAATTTTTCTATGATTCCAAAGTTAATCTGCTCACGTCAGCTCACAGCGAGTGGAAGCTGTGGATATTGTCTTGGTTGATGGGTAACATGTATCTGCATCAACAATATGCCCGAGTTTGAATTCATTTACAAAGCTATCAGGATCTCAAGTAAATATGAAGCAAATTGAATTAAGTACAATAATATGCTAAAGTAGGAGTTTATATGCCAAATGCTATGTGAAAAATATAAAGTAACCTGATTGCTTTGGTGAGAAAAACCATACCGTGATCACATTACAAAAGAAAACATTTTTGTTAACTTAACATTTTTGTTTAAGTATTAGGAAAATGAATAAAAACGCATTAAATATTATCGCATTTATTTGAATCTATCTCAAGTCCCCATTTCTCAGCAGTGTTGGGCACAAAGAACTCGAACATGTAACCATCCACATGACGTGAGTCTCTGCAAAATTATTTTGTTGTCACCGTCTATATTTTCCCCTATTCACACATTGTTACCCACGCTGCATTGCACACTTTAGCATGACATACTAGGGATGCTCTGCAAAAGAAATCGCAGAAGTCCTGCTCCAAAATGTACAAGTGAGGGTGAAAAGAGTGAAGCTGCACGTCAGATGGTTCGTCTGCTTATAATTATTCATGGGGATTTATTTAAATCTGACATTTCTGTGCTAATTATGCCCGCCTGCAGTTCAAAAACAAGTCAGAACATCCGCCTTGTCACATTCTAATTTGAAAAGTGGAGTGAAAATGAAGCATCTGGACTATTAGCCCCAAATGGCCCAGATCACACTGCCTGCAGCCTGCAGGGGTGTGACTTCACAGCAACAGGTAACACATCTGTGACACATTTACGTCCAATTTTTTCTGTCCGGTACAACTGACTTTAGTCAAAGATTCAACACTATAAACACATAGAAAATGGTTATTTTCCATTGGCAGCTTTACATACAACAGTTTGCTGTTGAAATTCACAGACATGTTGAGTTGTTGATTCGGTTTCCATGAAAAATTGATTGATGAACTAACCTTTTTTTTAATCAATGTTTAAATAATATCGAGATTACAAAGCCTCCAATCACTTAGATACTTTTTAAACCATGTACCACCTCTAATGAAACATTCTAAATGAAGTTCATGAAAATAAAACGGAAAAAAAAAGGATTTCTTAATACTGTATGCAATTAAACAACAGTCAAAATGAGAAGCTCCAACTTTGCATCCCTTCATGGATACATTACTTGTCAGATATGTCTGGACTGGTGATAAAACCAGCCATAACCCCCACCCAAAAAAATACATTCTAGTTTCTGTCATAAAATAAAATAGTTTGGACAAGGACCTTTTTGTCCAATGGCTTTGAAACATTTCTGTAATATTTGCATGAACTGTATTTGTAAACCAAGCATTGTCTTGTAGAAAGTTTTTGGAGGCCAAAATAAGTTCTAACAGTGGTGATCGTGTGACCTACCAGCAAGAAAAGGGCTTTTCCTTTGGTTAGCTTGGTTTCCTGGTAATCATTCCTTCATCTTTCCACATAAAGATGAAAGAATTAGGACTATATCAGTCCCTGTGAGAAATATGTAAAAAAGGAGAAAAAACAAACAGACCATGTAAGAGCTCCAATGACTTGTGTGAAGACACGGTTTCTCAAAAAGCTAGAACTCAATTAATGAAGTCATATCGAGCCTGTGGTCATTTCACATGACACAAGCCCTTTAAATCTTTCCCAAGGGACTGACGAATTACATGAGAGCCGTGAGTGTAGAAACCCACTTCTCACGGGCATCACCAGATGTCAACGGAAGGACAAGTAATCCCCCACAGATGTAAAGGAGAACCTGGCTTTTGTCCAACATGAAACCCATAGTCTCGAAACCATCCACCCTGGCCAATGACGTATCACGAGGGACATTGTGTTTTTGTGGTTTGGAGGCAGACAACAACTAAGATACCAAAGTATACATGTCATAGCATTCACACCCAGCATGGCAGCTTCTTCAGGGCAAGCACATGGATCTATTCACAACTATCGTACTGAGAAAAAAGGAAAAGCATGCATTCCTATATCCATGCACAAAGCACTCATGGGAATTTAGGGAAAAAAAAAGGGGAAAAAAAGTACTTTCATACTTGTGCTAAATAGATAACGGTACTATACTATAGTCTGTTGCTAAACTTTCTGTTACTAAAACTTTCCAAAAGTCCAGAACTTCCTCATCTGTCAAAGGACGGATACAAAGGAATGATGAATATTGAAAGACTGTGCCACTTACTAACTTCAAACTGCCCGAGTTCAGTAGCTGTAGAGTCGATGTTCCATGTTTTCCTCATATAGCGATTCCTACGATAAGTGTTTGAGGGGTGGGTTTGGTGAAAAGCATGCGGTGCATCCACAGAAGTTCTGATGCCTCTTTAATCAATAAGGAATGTGTTATTTTTTCTTTCTTTTTATTTCAACAGGGATTAACTGTAGTCATGCTGCAGTTGGAAGTTATTGCTGGTGTTTTGCATGGATTTTGAGATCCGTTAGTGGAGGATTTGCTAAAGTCACCAATAATAGCGACCAAATTGGGGGTTTTTTGATTAGAAATTCCCCCGAAAAGGTTGAATCCACCAGATTTGTGTCCCATAACTTATCAACTAAATACCAACCTTCAGGAAATGACAAACTTTAAAACTGATAAACTACCTCATAGCAGGATAACAAAGAAAAGTCTTGATTATTCTTAGAGAAGACCAATCTTGGGAGGATCAAGTAAGAACCAGTGAGGAATTTCCAGAATCCTTTCTCCATTTTTACAAATAAAGATTAGATCTGAGTCGAAACCTAATTTTCAATGGCATTTTTCTACATTCCTTTTACTCGTGATTCTTTACTGTACAGCTGTACTCTTAATGGTTGGGGTTAGGTTCACCTAGTGCTTGGGTACTCAACATTGTCCTCAGACTACTATGTGAACCATGGCTTATGTATTTTCATACAATCTTAACTTAGAATTTAACCATTTAAAAAAGTCCTTTTCTTTTTTCATGACGTCTGAGAGAACTACGACCACTTTTCCCTCAGAATGATTTGTAGCCGCAACTCTAAAAGAGTCAGTACAACCAAAGGTAGTTTTGCGAGAGGAAAAAATATATATTTTCGGTCAAACTAAAAAGCTGAGAGTAATAACCTCGCAGCAAGAGTTTATTTGTTTGTCGCAATTATTTGTAGTGAACAATCCTAAAAAAACAATGGATTCGATAAAACACCAGGACCTCTTCAACCTCTTTGGGGTAATGACTGGAACATTTCTAATACCGGCTAAAATTGAATCATATTTGGAAACGAAGAGGGGGGGAAGGACAAACAAATAAACACAGAAACACACAGGAAAGTACCCATCATCACAATGTTCAAAAGTTTCAGTCGACACCACTTTCACCTAATGAATTCATACTGAATTTTCAGCTTTCATCAAATTCACTCTATCGTTTTTTTTTAAAAGCACTCTTGACAAGGTTGTCCTGATTATGGTGCTTTGTGAGTGGAACTATGGGAGGGAGAGAATCCCTGGCTGAATCACAGTATTTATAGTTCTTAATGCGCATACATTTTTGACAAAGATGACAAGTCTTGGTAATAACAATAAAACAGTAAAAAGAGTCAAGTGCTCCAAGCTGGTCAAGGAAAAAACTTGAAAAAGATGCCTAAAAAATACAACCAACAAAGGTCCAAACCTAAAGATTCCCACTCTTTTCTCGATGTGGGATTTGTATACTGTAGGATTATCCCAGTAATGACTTCAGGATCACTCCAATTTCTTTGAACTGACTTTATAAATAGTTTTAAAATAAGGGAAAAGTGGTATCACTGTCACTTGGGAACACCGTGTTTTTATCACATCTGTGGCACTCTATCACACATGATCAAGCTATTTTTCAAGTTTAGTTTTTTTTCAAATAACCTTGTTCTCAGTTTTACATTAAAACAACTTAACAACTTAACTTAATGCGTTATTTATGATAGTGAGCTTTTAATCCCCATTAATTTAATGGGGATTATGCCCCATTTGCATAAATTGAAGGTTGCCGGCGTTTCTGTGTTTTCTAGTCTTAATTCAAGCCATATTCTATCTGTAGCAACATATTTTTTCACTCAGTTCTATCCTGGCAGGACAGAAAATAATCATTTATTCCAAACAAATAAATGCTGTAATACAGTAAAAGAAGAAGGAACCACCACATGGGTCAAATACATGGGTCAAATATTACCAAATGGGCCAGAGGGTCATGCATACATTTAACAGATTTTTTATACCTTAAAAAAAAAAAACAAGAGGACATTTGTTGTATTCAAGTCTTGGCTTTAAGAGGGTTTGATTCCTGGAGGTCTTGCCATTGAAAGACGATCTTATTCATGAGGCCTCTAGTCTACGCA